TCTAAAGGCCCGTTTTATAAAACTTATGAAACTTCCTCCCTCTCTACTCTCATAATTCCAAAAGCTTTAATAAATATAAATGTGTGCTACGATTCGCTTTAGGTTTTTTTTTTTTCCTCCTCTTTCTACTTACAGCCGGTATGGGTGCTTTTATTTTATTAAGCCTTTTGACACTATTTAACTTTTAAGCTAAGCATGTATTACTTTTAAAGACTAATTGAATAAAGATGTATGTTCAGAACTTGAAAATAAAATGTGGGCCCACTACTTAAATAACCATTGTGAAGATTTTGATGTATTGCTTTCCAGCCTAATTCATTTGCTTCTCCTGATGCTTCCTGAGTGTTTAGTAACACACACACTTCTTAGCTCCTTTTTTTGTTCATTCAACATAAGGAGAGCATTTCCCTTATTATTAAAATATTCTTAAAAACGTGTGTGTTTTATGTGTTCCATGTGACGTATATGTTAACAATACAAAGACTGAACAGGACATCAAAAACCAAGATGCTTTGCGGGGCCCTCACACATGTGATCATTAGAGTCCTGTGGGGGGGCCTGGGGCCGGAAACGCTTCCAGCTTCCAGCTGGAGAATCCACAGCCCAGAGGTGAGAAGGAACTTGGGGTGCTTACGATCACAGGCTTGGGTACCGTTTATCAGCTCTGTGACCTTGAGCGCAACAGTGACTAAGATTTGTTAGGCCTGAAGGTCACATCAGTGTTGGGGTCCTCCTTAAGGAAAAGAAGAAAAACTTTACTCTTGAAAATGTTACTAAAACATGTGATCCTGCACCTAAATTGCTCTGAACCCCTCCCAGGGCCGTGGAAGGGCCCAAAAGCTTGAGCTTCACCTGCTTCAAGGCAAATCTGCCTCCTCTTGGGCAAGTGACTTAACTTCCCTTCATCTGCAAAATGGGGCCAAGAGAAGTACTGACTTCAGTGGTTTGGAGGCTTACACAAGATAGCGCGTTGTAAAGCATTTGGTAAGCTGCCTGGAGCACACCGGGTGCTTGATAAATACCGCCTGTGATTACTCAGAGTCATGGAGTTGTGGCTGGAGTCGTTTGAGCTGCTTCCCAGAGACGGTTATTCACATGCATACTTAAGAAAATTACACCTGGAGCCTTTTCAGCCTGGCTTGCTCATTCATTTAATAAACACCGATCGAGTTCCTACCAGACACCGCGTACCACACGAGGTACAAGTCTCAATGAATTCTCCCACCCCGTTTCTGAAAGCACAGCACAAACGTCCCCGCCTCTGGGAAGCCTTCTCAGGACTCCAGGCAGACTCACTACTGCCTGGGTACTCAGCCCCTGCTGCCTAACGGGCTTTGGACATGAACAGGGCTCCAGGGGAAAGGACCTCCCCACCCCCGCTGTGTTCATTTCTGTATCGTCAGCACTTTCCTGGGTGCCTATAATAAAGTATGTAGACACTCAGTAATGTGAAGTGAGTTGACCGAAAGTGTGCTTGTTTTCCCATGAGGACTGTAGCTGCTTTTGCCAGCTCTTCAGTTTGCAGAAGTAAGCAAGATGTGTGCAAAACAGTTCAAGTCCTCTGGAAGCAAGTACGAGGTAGGCTTACTGTTAATCTTGGTTGTTGTGAGTGACTTCACTTTTTCTTATTTTATGACAACTGAAATTCTCTATTATGTTACCAGACCACACTCCTCAAGCTTCTCTCTTCTGCTAATAAAAAAAAAAATAATATGGCCACATCGGGTAAGTCCTTAGGGAACATGTCCCGTATCAGGAAAAGTAGTTAAGCGCTGGGGTCCTAAAGGAGCCTGGGAAAGTCTAGCTAAAAACTATGGAGTTGGGTTGTATTATCTACTTAGAAACAGAACTGGACTTTGCAAGTTTTATCACATCTAGGCTTATTAAAGCCATTCATTGAGAATTTTTCCAGATTGTTACTTTTATAATAGCATTCAAGTGTCAGAAAATACCCTGACCAGTCAGCACTGGATACAGGTCGAGAAGATAAGAAGTGGCTGCAGGTAAAGCACCAATCTACCCACACGTTTGCGTAGTACTTTGTAATTTACACCGAGTTAGCTTTCACCATCATTATCCCTCTGCTAAAACAGCCGCCTGAGGTAGGAGGGAAGCTGGATACCGGCCTCTGCACAGGACAGGAACACCGAAGCAGGGCTCGACTGGGAATCCGCTCTGTCAAAGGTCATAGCGCCTGCTACCACGACCACCAACCTCCCGCCCAGACTCTCGGGAGGGCCTTCAGTCTTGTGGGTGTCTTCAGAAAACGATCCCATCTTTGCATCGGTTTTCCCGAAGCATTCTGGTCTATGGAACGTGACCCAGGCTACAAGGAATGTCATGGGCACCTGGGGGTTAGCGGCTTTTCAAGAAGTCCCAGGGCCAGAGTTTTAGCTCATCCTCCATGTGGGCTTCAATGTGTGATTTCACCAGGTATGTGTAATTATGGACAGTTCCTGCCTTCATGATCTGGTAGGGGAGAAAGACACCTGTCACCTACGCAAAGTGTCACGTTCACATTCCTGGGACTGACCCAAGGACCACGGGGACTCTGAAGCATGCAGTCCTCTAAACAAATTTCTGATTTAACCCATCTGAAATCCCAGCACTGCAGATGGCAGGGGGAGGATGTGCGCAGTCCTGTTCCCTAGCACAAGCGACCCCAGGAGGAGGGCCCCCATTTACCTGTGTCCAGGTCTCCCCAGCAGTGAACTCTGGGCAACAACTTTACTTCCATCCTGTTATCTGAAAAAAGAAACCTCAGTTGGCCCAATCGGGAGGCTATACATTCCTAGAAACAGAGCCGAGAGGCCAGCAACAAGCCTGTTGTGTTGGCAAGATGTAAATGGCCAGGCCTTTGGAGTGCTTTTCCTGCCTGCCCTGGTATTTACAGGCCCTGACTGAGGCGCCTGGACCAGCCAGGACCCTCTCCTCCCGGAACCTCCATCCTCAAAGCACTCCCTCCTCATTCACAGATTAGTGGGACTTGAGTCCATAAACCAGGTCAAAAACCACAAGAACTCTCCACTGGAGTTCGAGGTGGTGGCTCTCTCGGAGGACTTCTAGCACCCTCCCCCACCCCATCCATCATTCCCTTTGAAGAAACACACACCCAGAGTCAGGGAAGCTGACATAAACATCCTGAGGAAACAACCACTCTAAGTGGCTTCGAAGCCTCATTTCCCCAAGGAAATAATCAGCACCTCTTCCCCAAGACAGCTCCAGGTGAGCAAGAAGGGAACACCTTCCCGTTCTCCAAAGTAAAGGCGTTTGCCTAACTGCCTGATTACCAAGCGCGCTCGCGTCTACTGTCACAGCCCGTTCTCCGAACCCACGAGGTGGCCAGGGCAGGTACGATTTCCCCCAATTTTACGCAGGGCACACCGAGGCCCGGGCGCTCGCTCTCTTCCCGGGGTCACGCAGGGAGCAAGCACCGGGGAGCCTCTGCCTGCGCGCCCCGAGCTCGCCCCGCGGCACCGCCAGGTCCCCCGAGTGAGCCCGTCCGCGCGGCGGCGGCCACATGGCCCCATTGTCCCGGGCGGGCGTCCCGCCGGGCGGACTCTGGCGCTCT